AAAAGGAGAGAAAAATGCGCACAGTCTGAGGGTCAGCTGTTTCTGCCTGGCCTGTAGAGAGGTGTGGAGATAGTCTTTGGCCCATTCAGCAATTGCAGGAAGATATTCCTCCACCTCCTGCTTCATGTCTGCTTGAGTCAGTTTCAGACTGTACCTGGTCAAAGAACATATGCATATATGTACATAACACACACACACATACTTCATATTTTATATTATATATATATATATATATATATATATATATATATATATATATATATATATATATAAATAAAAAAAACACACACACAGATATACATAATTACATCTCATAAGGTGCTTTTAATAATATTATATGGCTTATTGCCTCTTACATTTGTCCAAGGTAGTTTGGGTTGAGCAGGGCTTCACTGGCAAGTTTCTCTAGCATTTCAGGAGAAAAGTCTAAGGACATGGCAGCTTTTTGAAAGATGTCATGAACTATGGTCCCGTTCAGCATCTGTTTGCTTCCACCATCCAAACTCTGGAAGTAAAACAGTGATTATGTTTACATGTATGAAATAATCTTCAAAAAATTTTATACATACAGATAGATAGATAGATAGATAGATAGATTTTTTTTATTTATAAATTTATAATTCACCTAAGCATTTGCATGCATTTAAGAAATCAGTCAGTCAATAATCAGTTTTCCTTCTATATACAAAATATGTTGGTCTCTACAGAAAACCAATAAACCCACCCAAACGAGAGGACATGTGGTACAAATTAAACTACCTGCAGCTTTTTCATACATCAAATACCTCAGGTTCTTCACAATGCCAAACACTTGTCTTACCTTAAACATCTCTCCAAGTACAGCTCGTCTCATACAGCGGACACTGTTAGCTATGCTGGTCCCTGAAATGAGCACATCAGGCAGAAGCACCAGGTAACCAGAGTTCCTATCAATCACCCATAAGCCAGAAACACACTCCCCTTCCAGATGAACAATGTCCCCTACAGCAACTGGAGTACTCTCCCTTAAATAAGAAACAATACAAACAGTAAACCTATTAAACATCAAAGTACAGGCTCTGAGATCACATCCCTCTGTAACTACGGAGTAAAGTCCTCTACCAGCCATCCTTTAGAATGCAGGTCTCTGTAGGGTGTGATGACTTTGAGCAAGTGATGGTTAAATGCTTCTCATTGTAGCCTTGGGCTCCAGTGGTTTCTTGCACATCTAGAACCCAGTAGCGGTTATGGAGGCCAGAGACCAGAATAACATGCTCAGGAATGCTTCTCTTCTTTCTATAAGTCAAAAAAGACACCATATTTGCAAAAGCTGTAAGAGCTGCTTCTGTTTTAGCGAACAAACTGAACAGTAATGCTTTACATTAAGGTTCCCTTAAGTGAAATGATTTACATGAACTTCATCTTTAGTACACCATAAATATTGTTAACAAAGTAGCTACCACCTTTAGTAATTGAGCTTTTTTTAAAATTATGAACCAACTAAGTCAAAGCACATCTGCATGAACCAATATTCAGTATAAAAACATGTCCAGTTTGCAAATCTATCTAATGCCTTAATTAACAGATTTGTTTTTGTTACTAGCAAAAAAGTAGAGCTGAATAGTGGGTTTGCATTTAAATAAATATCCGATTAAAACATTTGTTTAACGAACTTATTTTGTTAACGTTACTTATGTTTATGAAGTTTATGTAAGGAATAAACTATGGTATAAGGCTTGTTACTGGTAACTAATGCAGTAAATATTATTAGGTGATGGAATTTTAATGTAATGCATTGCCAACATAATGAGAACGCAGGTAATTATTCATACTTCATACATACAAACAAAAATAAGCAAAGACCTACTCAAGTTTGGACTTTTTATGTTCTGGCTCTTCAAAACTTTGCTCCATTTGATCAGTAAACCAGCTGTCGTCCAGTATACTGACGTTCTCCTCAGAGGTTCTGATGGCCTTTTCACTGTCACCAAGGTTCTTAACCTGTTCTGATTTCTTCTCATTTTCCCAAATGAGAACATTCTCCTTCTTTTCACTACCATCACTGTTGCAAACCCATGAAGTGTAGGACACCATAAGATCCGACTGATTATCACTGGATATTTCAGTCAAGTCCGTGCTTGGCTCCGTTCTGAGAGGAATGTTCTCCTTCTCATCTTCACTGGAGCTGATTTTATGATGACTGACTCTTGGTAATTTTGTGATTGACCCAGTGGCACCATTCCTCTTCTCTGAAGTCATATTTCCTAATATCTTACCAGACAGAGTTGATAGTGAACTGTTCTTCTCAGATAGAGTCTTCAAAGCTTTGCCAGACTTTTTCTCACTGTTCTTTGAGAAGCCTTTCATTGATTTCTCATCTTTCAAATCAGCAGTTTCACGAATAATCTGAAGAAATTTGCTCAAGTCATCTCCCTCTGAGCTTGATTCCTGTTCAGAACTTTTCTGTAACTGCCCTGTTCTGGGGCGCTTGGCTTTCTGAAATGTCTCCGAACCGTGCATCAGCCGTTTCACTGAACCAAAATGACCAATACCATTCTCTGCTTCATAAGTGTCCCCTGATTTTGGGCTCGTCTTCTGTGGCTGCAGTGACCTGCTGGACAAAAGTCTGGTCTTGCAGGCGAGACCACGGGAACCCGGGCTACGGGACACAGGGGAGCATGGACCCTCAGAAAAGGGCTGTGTTGGGCAGTGACGCTTTTTCTCACTCTCAGGCGTCTCAGGGATGGTCAAGGGGGAGAGCGGAAACCTTGTATCTTGCCTAACACAAGTCTTCATAACATTGGAGACATCTACATTCGTATGCATGGCTGTACCTCTTTTTGGGGATTTTGGTTGTACCTGTTAAAATATTAGAGGGTACAAAGTAAGAATATTAAGTCACTCTCTCTTCAAGCCAGTTTCATTACCTGAAAAAAAATGTCCTTATGTTCACACTAGCAAGTGATAAAGGAGACACAGAGCAGTGATTCCAGGACTTTCCAAAGTACCCTCAAGGTTAGTCAGAGGTTATATATGTGTTTTTAAGCTCAAGGACTAATTATAAAGTAAATACAACAAGTTCTACACTGCCCTGTTGTTGTAGATGCATACATGTAACCTATGCTTCACCAATGACTCGCCAATTTCAGTCTAGTAATAATAATATTATTATTATTATTATTATTATTATTATTATTATTAATAATCCTTTGGCCAGTGGATTTGATAGCTCAGGCTCCTCAGTACATACTGTACTGTCCAAGCATAAACCAAAGAGATCACAGAAAATGCTTTAAAAACTGTTTCAACATTCAGTGTGATGCAGGTTTATCAAATTTGGTTGGCACAGAGTGCAAAGGCTGTTATTCTAATCACAGTTCCACCTTCATTCATCAGTTCCACCTTGTCAGCCAGATGCTAGTCAAAATGAATTAACTAAATATTTACAAAAGGCACCTAATCAGTCACCATGACCTTTGCTGCTGTTATTATCTAGAAATGCGAGTCCAATCAGCTGCATGGTGGTTCACTGGGCATCAATGCCACCTCACAGCTCCAGGGTCCCTGATTCAATCCCACCTCACAAAAACATGTCCCATCCAGGGTGTATTCCCACCTCATGCTCAGTGTTTCGGGGATAAGACCCGGATTCTCTGCCACCCTGACCAGGATAAAGCAATTACTGAAGACGAATGAATGAATGAATGAATGAATGAATGAATGAATGAGTCATTTTATCAGTTCTGAACTTTGGCCTCATTATTATCTAGAAATATGAGTGCAGTACAGGAAGTCAGTTAATCATTAGCCATATCTCAAACTCCCATCCGATTATAATCCATAAAGTGCATCATATATGGCATGAAATAATTTACATCCTGGTGTATTAGTGAGGGATTAATAACTTACCTTGGAGAAAAATGCAGAAATGTCTGATTGCAGTCCACTGCTCGTCTGCAACATACAAAGTTCACAGTTAAACAACACATTTTCCTGGTTTTTCTCCTCAGCTTGTTATTCACAGCTTGTGTAGCCTCAGTCAGATGTTTAAAAATAAGCTTAGCCGTTAAATCATCAACACTCACCATGTTTTTCTTAGACTTCATTTTCGACATCGTTGACATTCTAATTTAAGAGGATGATTATTCAGTAAGTTTAAATATTAGAGCTTATACAGAACAAGCTGTCTAAAGTTAGCATGAGGCACTTGCTGATCAGATCAACTCCTCTTCATCCTCTACAGTTTTTAAGCACAAATCTCACTAATCTCACTCCATCACTCAGGAGAAAGTCGCCAAACCGCGATGAGATGAGCTGTGATCTTTTATCCCATCCGAGAGAAACAGTATTGTATCCACACACACATATTTAACTTCTCCACACTTCACTCCTTTCACAGATTCGCGCCAATAGTATAAACAAGGCGCATTTCTTCTGGTGTTTTTTCGTCAGCCGATTTAAAGGCTGAAAATCTGTATGTCGCCCCCTAGTGTTACATACACAATACTACACATCACTGTTTATCTCAAAACAAGCCATTATATAGGTCATCTAATCATCCAAAATATACCTGAATACATATATTACAGAGTGAGTGAACAAATTAAAGAAACGATTTTTATTTTGTTTTTCCCCCTAAAATCTCAAATATTCAATAGAATTAATTTAAAATAAGTACATTACTCCTATTTCTGAACTTTAATTTTCTCCTATTTTATCAGTTCCAGCACATGTCCATCCATCCATCCTCTATACCATTTATCCTGCACAGGGTCTATCCCAGGGAACACCCTGGATGGGGTGCCAACCCATCACAGGGCACAATCTCACACACACACACACTATGGACAATTTGGAAATGCCAACATTAGCTTACAGTGCATGTCTTTGGACCGGGGGAAGAAATAAGAGCACGTAGAGCAAACCCCTGAAGTATGGGCAGAACACACACACACACACACACACACACACACACACACACACACACACACACACACGGCAGAGGTGGGATTCAAACCCCCAACCCTGGCAGTCTAAGGTAACAGTACTAGCCACTAAGCCACCATGCCCCCCATATTCCAGCACATTCCAGCACATGTTTAGTCCTTGAATTATTTCCAATATATGTTAATGATATAAGTATAATTACACCTAAAGAACTTTTACTTAAAAGCCAAAATGAATTGTATTATAAGAAATGAAACACATCAGTTTTGCTGACAACTATAGTACATCCATCCAAACAATGAATATGCATGAATATTCAATTTGAGAAAGCCCTCATGTCCTTCTACTAAGCTTAGATACTTCACCAACTGGCTTGCATTTGTCATGGGCAGACACCTGTCAGCCAAAACTATGCTGTTCATCACTAACATTAACTAAGTTAGCTTTCTAGCTAGCTAAGCATGCAGTTACTTCTGTCTTCTGAGCTCATAAACAGTGCAGTGCTACGGGTGTTGATACGATCACGAATACAAGCATCAGGGTCATTTTTGATTTCATTAGAGTTTTAACTTTATAATATCAAAGTGAAGTTTTTATAATTTTTTTTTCCAAGTGCAGTCTTTAGGCAATCCAAGTAAGAACATCCACAGCCATCTTTAGGATAACCGTGTGGTACCTTCCACAGCAATCTCATGGCAAACTTCAAACTTCGATCCTCAGCAGCACTGAGTGATTCTCCAGTGAAGGAGGCCCCAAGCAGAAGTAGAGCATCACGATGGATCAGGCAGGTCCTGAGAGCAGCCATCTCACCTGGCAACAGGAGTAAAGTGTAGCTCGACAGAGAGCGAGAGAGAGAGAGAGAGAGAGAAGGGGGAGGGGACAGATTATTAGGTGTGATCTTATCCTGTAAAGGTTTAAGAAGATGTACATCGTGCACAGAATGCAAGCACAGACTCCGGCATCGAAACATCCCGGTTGATGTTTGGGACTCTATGCCCATAAACCCTCCAGATCTGTGCCTTTATCTAATCACTCTATGTTTATCTAATCACATCTGTGCCTTTATCCAGAATCACTCGATGCTGCTGAGGATGGCTTGACTAAACAAATAGGTTTTCAGCTTAGACATAAAAATTGAGACTGTGTCTGAGTCCTGAACACTAACTGGAAAGTTGTTCCATAACTGTGGGGCTTTGTAATAAAAAGCTCTGTCCCCGATGTAGTCTTCATTATTCTAGGTACCAACAAAAACCTTGCACCTGTTGATCAAAGCAGGCGTTCCCTCAGGTTCTGTGGTCAAGGCCATTCAGTGCTTTATAGGTCATTAGTAGTATTTCATAATCAGTGCAAAATTTTATGGGAGCCAATGCAGTGTATATAAAATAGGAGTAATGTGATCAAATCTTCTGGTTCTAGTAAGGACTCTTGCTTCTGCTCTCTGGATTAACTGGAGTTTATTTATGTACCTACTGGAACATCCAGACAGCAAAGCATTACAATAGTCCAATCTAGAGGTAACAAAAGCATGAATTATTTTTTCTGCATCATGCACTGTCATTACATTTCTTATCTTAGCAATATTTCTGAGATGAAAAGTAATATTATCTACATGCATCAAATTAGAGCCCGGAGTCTATAATCACACCAAGATCTTTCACTGCTGCACATGGTGCAACTGGAAGGCCATCCAGAGTTACTACATAATCAGAAAGCTTACTTCTAGCTGCCTGTGGTCCAGGGGCGTTTCCTCCGAGGAGGCAAGGGAGGCAGTGTCTCCTCAAAAAATTGGATGAGAAAATAATCGATATTGCAAAAATAAAACGACGCAAATATTACTAAAAATGACATTAAAAGTATAAAAGTCACTCGTTTTTATAAAGTAACACTGTCCAACAGCGACACCCGCAGGTAAAGTTACAGCGGAGGCTTGCCTC